GGCCCTCTTGGGTCTCTCTTGGGCTGTGTTGGGGCTCCGCGGGGGCGTCTGGGGCACTGTGAAGACGAAGCCAGCGAGCATGCTGAAAATTTACGTTTACACAAGGAATGGGCGGATTTGTGCCTCTTCAAGGCCCTCTGGCCCGGGGCAGTCCCAAGGGGTCTGTGAACCCCCAAAGGTTCCGCGGGGGCGCCCATGGGGGATACTTCGCCGCTACGAAAGTTCGGCCAAAATTCAACGCCTCCCGTTAGGCGACGGGGCCCCAGTACAACGTTGGCGGTGGGCCCGTTAGGCCGCGGGGCCCCAGTACAATGTTCGGTTGAAGCATTTTTCGCTCCAGTCTCGGGTGGCACCGCCCTTTCGAAATCGAGCCCGCGGGTTTCGAAATCCAGTCGAGCTTGTTTTGGGGAGTAAGTCCTAGGCGAAAGCCACATTTCGAAATCGAGACCGACGGTTTCGAAATCCAGACGAGCTCGTTTTGGGGAGGAAGTCCTAAGCGAAAACTGCATTTTCAAGGCGCGGCCACAGACGCTAACCGTCTGGCCTGCAAAAGCCATACATGGATTATCTCACCTAGCATCGATGGACAGACCCGTCTGCAATGCTGATCGCATTGGCTGGCGTGGCAGAGTCTGCAAAAGGGGAAGGCACGATCACGGTCGCAAAACGTGGACACATCACTACAAAACCTGCCAAGTCGGGCTGGACAGTTGAATCCAGATCCTGCCCCACGAACATCTGATGATATTGGCTGTAAAAACCAACGTATACGATCGGTGCCTCTAACTCGCCAGCCGCGGCGGCGCGCTCCAGGGGTGGCATGCGGCCGGGAAAAACGTATCGATAACCGTGCCCTCTCGAAACACAAAGAACGTTGACCCCCTGGCGTGCTTGTATAATGCTTGAAAACTCGGCTCCTCCTGGGGGCCCTCTTGACTTATCTGGGGAGCCTCCTGGGCCGTCTCTGGGCTTTCTTGGGAGCCTCTACGGCCGTCTTGGAGCGATCTGAAGGGCCTCTGACGCGGTCCGGGACCTTGGGGAGGCATGGGAGAGCGCAAGAATGCTTCAAAAACCATGGGAAAATCTATAACTTTCAGCTTCTGGGGCCTTTTGGAGGGGCCTCTGGAGGCGCACGTGGGGCGTTTTGGCGGCGTCGTCGGCCGTCCTGAGGCCATCTTCGGCGTGTCCGGGGCCTCTGGGGGCTGTCTTTGGGCGTCCTGGGAATCCGGAAATCATGTTCCCGGAGAGGCTTCAGGGAACATGATTTCGAACGAGGCTCTCTTGGGCCTCCCTGAGGCCGTCTTGGGGACCTCCTGGGCCGGCTTTGGGGCCTCTTGGGCCGTCTTGGGAGGTTCCGTTAGCCCCACAGGACGACCCTTTCGGGCCCTCTTGGGCCCTCTTGGGTCTCTGTCTGGCTGTCTTGGGGCTCCTCGGGGGCGCCTGGGGCACTGTGAAGACGAAGCAAGCGAGTATGCTGAAGATGTAAGTTTTACGTGGGGAGCTGGCTGATGTTTGCCTTTTGAAGACCCTCTTGGGGCCCTCTTCGGCCATCTTCAAGCCATCTCGGGCCCTCTTGGGCCTCGCTGAGGCTGTCTTGTGGGCCTCTTGGGCGTCCTGGGAATCCGGAAATCATGTTCCTGGAGAGGCTTCCGGGAACATGATTTCGAACGAGGCCCTCTTGGGCCTCCCTGAGGCCGTCTTGGGGGCCTCCTGGGCCGGCTTCGGGGCCTCTTGGGCCGTCTTGGGGGGTTCTGTGAGCCCCACGGGAGGATCTTTTTGGGCCTTGGGACCTCGTGGGTCTCTCTTGGGCTGTCTTGGGGCTCCGCGGGGGCGTCTGGGGCACTCTGAAGACGAAGCAAGCGAGCATGCTGAACATGTACGTTTTACGTAGGGTATGGGCCGATGTGTGCCTCTTGAAGGCTCTCTTGGGGCCCTCTTCGGCCATCTTCAAGCCATTTCGGGCCCTCTTGGGCCTCGCTGAGGCTGTCTTATGGGCCTCTTGGGCGTCCTGGGAGCCGGGAAGTCATGTTCCGGGAGAGGCTTCGGAGAACATGATCCGGGAGAGGCTTGATGGGCCGGGAGAGGCTCTCTTGCAATACAACGCGGATGATACATTTGGCACAGAGGCCCGCACCGCGGAAATCGTGTTCCTGGAGAGGCTTCCGGGAAAACGATTTCGAACGAGGCCCTCTTGGGCCTCTCCCTGAGGGCGTCCTGGGGGCCTCCTGGGCCGTTTTGGCGCTTCTTGGGCCGTCCAGTGGGTTCCGTGAGCCCCACAGGCCGACCCTTTTGGGACCGTCTGGGGCCCTCTTGGGTCTCTCTTGGGCTGTGTTGGGGCTCCGCGGGGGCGTCTGGGGCACTGTGAAGACGAAGCCAGCGAGCATGCTGAAAATTTACGTTTTACACAAGGAATGGGCGGATTTGTGCCTCTTCAAGGCCCTCTGGCCCGGGGCAGTCCCAAGGGGTCTGTGAACCCCCAAAGGTTCCGCGGGGGCGCCCATGGGGGATACTTCGCCGCTGCGAAAGTTCGGCCAAAATTCAACGCCTCCCGTTAGGCGACGGGGCCCCAGTACAACGTTGGCAGTGGGCCCGTTAGGCCGCGGGGCCCCAGTACAATGTTCGGTTGAAGCATTTTTCGCTCCAGTCTCGGGTGGCACCGCCCTTTCGAAATCGAGCCCGCGGGTTTCGAAATCCAGTCGAGCTTGTTTTGGGGAGTAAGTCCTAGGCGAAAGCCACATTTCGAAATCGAGACCGACGGTTTCGAAATCCAGACGAGCTCGTTTTGGGGAGGAAATCCTAAGCGAAAACTGCATTTTCAAGGCGCGGCCACAGACGCTAACCGTCTGGCCTGCAAAAGCCATACATGGATTATCTCACCTAGCATCGATGGACAGACCCGTCTGCAATGCTGATCGCATTGGCTGGCGTGGCAGAGTCTGCAAAAGGGGAAGGCACGATCACCGTCGCAAAACGTGGACACATCACTACAAAACCTGCCAAGTCGGGCTGGACAGTTGAATCCAGA